GCGACAGTCCTCTAATGGATCATGAACACAATATCAGTTGACCTCCTCGGTGGAATTGTGTACGCCTCTGACTCACACGCTGTTTGGCAGGACTTACAAGAGCGATTTGATAAAGTAAATCGAATGAGGATTTTTCAAGTTCATCGGCAAATTGCGACATTATCACAAGGTACTAATTCAGTCTCTGTGTATTTTTCAAAATTGAAGGAATTATGGGCTGAATATGATGCAATGGTACCTCCACCTGGTTGTGACTGTGCTAAGTCGAAGGATTATATTGAACACTTCTATCAACAGAGGTTATTGCAATTTCTCAGTGGTCTAAATGATTCGTATGACCAAGCTAGAAGGCAGATCCTGCTAAAAACAACTGTACCCACACTTAATCAGGCTTATGCTATGATAGTTGAAGATGAAAGCCAACACTCTGTTGGTTTAAGTGTATCTGCTGAGAAAGGAGATCCAATGGCTATGCAGATGAATCGTGGACAGACTTATAAAGGGAAAAAGCCTTTTGTAGTGTGTGACTATTGCAATATGAAGGGGCATTCAAAAGAGAATTGCTACAAACTAGTGGGATATCCTACCGATTTCAAGCAAAGGAAGAAAGGACCCTATGGAAATGGAAATTTTGCTTATGGGAGTGGAAATGTTGCAGGTTCAGCTGGTTATAGAGTTCCAACTAGTTTTGGAGGACAATCTGGGAATGGTAGACAACCATTTGCTGCTGTGAACAACACCTCCAGCAACATGGAAGGTAAGACACAAGCACAACACAGCCTTGAAGGAATGTTAGAAGGGAAAATTCCTCACTTCACCGAGGAGCAGTACAACCAGATTCTCAACTTGTTGAACAAGGACACAGGGGACAACACTCAGGTTAACATGACAGGTAATGATATATATTATTTTTTGTCGAAATTGACAAATGATGAATGGATTGTTGATTCAGGAGCATCACATCATGTAGTATCAAACAAAGGCCTATTAGAACCAGATCATTTTTCAAGGTCACACTCATGTGACAAGGTACATTTACCTACAGGAGCTAAGGCAAATATAACACATACTGGTGAAGCCTCTCTATTTGATAACAAGAGAATTACAAATGTTCTGTTTGTGCCAGATTTTAAGTACAATTTACTATCTGTGTCAAAGTTGACAAAGGAACTTATGTGTTCAGTAGCCTTTTTCCCTCACTTCTGCATCTTTCAGGAGCTTTACAGTGGTAGGGTGAAGGGGATTGGTAGAGAAAGAGGTGGTCTTTACATCTTCAAGAGGGGACATGGTAGTGATGAAGACACATGACACAAAATAATGGCAATAGCTTGTAAGGAGGACTGCAGCTTATGGCACAAGAGACTGGGTCACCCTTCCCTGTCAGCAATGAAATATATGAAAATTGTACATAGTAATGTGGATAGTACTTTGATAAATAAGTGTCCAGTTTGTCCTTTAGCAAAACAGACTAGATTGGTGTTTCCTACTAGCAGTTCAAGAGCTGATTCTATATTTTGTCTTGTACATATGGACCTTTGGGGACCTTATAAAACACCAACACTTGACAAAAAGTACTATTTTTTTACTGTGGTTGATGACTATAGTAGATATACATGGATTTACTTACTGCAGCTTAAGACATAAGTTATAGTTAGTATCAAGTCATTCCTTGCTATGGTTAAGACTCAGTTTGGAGTCATAGTAAAGGTGATCATGACTGATAATGGAATAGAGTTCTTCAACTCACAATGCAGCTCATTGTTTCAAGATCTGGGGATAGTTCATCAGAGTAGCTGTGTGCATACACCCCAATAGAATGGGGTTGTAGAAAGGAAGCACAGACACATCCTAAACATAGCCAGGGTATTGAGATTTATCTAAAATACCAATCAGATACTGGGGTATTTGTATTCAGACTGCAGTATATTTGATGAACAGACTGAATCCTGCTGTGATCCAAGGAAAAAGTCCCTATGAACTTCTATATAAGAAGAAGCCTTCCTTAATACATCTGAGAGTCATTGGGTGTTTGTGCTATGCAACCAATGCACTCAAAGGAGACAAGTTTGGAGAAAGAGCAAGAGCTGCAGTGTTGACGGGATATTCAGAGACTCAAAAGGGTTATATACTTCTGGACCTCCACACACATCAACTCTTTGTGAATAGAAATGTCATATTTAAGGAAAATGAGTTTCCTTTTGCCAAAGCATCTATCACAGTTCAAGCTAAAGTCCATGATACTCCTGCTCCTATAGAGCAACACAACTTGTTTGATGATCATTTTGCAAGTGAGGAACATTCAAATAACAATGTTTATCAAGGATCTGATGTTGTGGCACAGGATTATGCCATTGAAGATGATATTGATGAGCAGAGCATTTCTAGTGCAGAACAGGTACTCTTACCTACTGATGAAGAAACAACTGATGACAGATACATGTGCAGCCTCATCTCTTGAGGAGTTGCAGGTTGAGGAGGGTGTAATGACACATGATCAACCTACAACTCTCAAGAGGTCTGCTAGAACAAGTAAACAACCCATCTGGATGAGGGATTATGTGATTCAAGGTGACAAGACTAGGACCAAGTATCCAATCTCTAATCATCTGTCTTGTGATAAGGTTACACCAACTTATCAAAGCTATCTTGCCAAGTTCTCCACCTTAATTGAACCTCAGACCTTCAAGGAAGCAGTTAAGGATGAAAGATGGGTAGAAGCTATGAAGCAAGAGATTAAAGCCTTGGAAGAAAACAAGACCTGGGAGGTAGTGAATCTTCCTAAGGGCAAGAATACAGTTGGTTCAAAGTGGGTATACAAAATTAAATACTAGGCCAATGGTGAGGTTGAAAGATTTAAGGCAAGGCTAGTTGCAAAGGGCTACAGCCAAAGAGAGGGATAGGATTATCATGACACCCTCTCTCCTGTGGTCAAGATGGTCACAACAAGGACAGTGATTGCATTAGCTGTCTCCAAGGGCTGGAATATGCATCAAATGGATGTGTATAATGCACTTTTGCAAGGTGATCTATATGAAGAAGTTTACATGGAGATGCACAAGGATTCAGGAGACAGGGGGAGCAGAAAGTTTGTAGGTTGCTTAAGTCCTTATGGACTAAAACAGGCATCCAGGCAGTGGAACATCAAACTAACAAATGCACTAGTAGAAGCAGGCTTCATGCAGAGCAACTATGACTATTCATTGTTCACCTTAAAAAGGGGACAAGATGTGGTGATTGTTCTGGTGTATGTGGATGATTTACTCATCACTGGAAGTAGCACTGAGTTGATTGATGAAGCTAAAGGATTGTTGCACAGAAAATTCAAACTGAAGGATCTGGGAGAGCTCAGGTATTTCTGGGCATTGAAGTCTTGAGGTCTAAGTCAGGTGTTAACCTAAATCAAAGGAAGTATGTGTTGGAGTTGGTTTCTGATCTAGGCCTAAGTAGTGCTAGGGTAGCCAACACACCTTTGGAATGCAATCTGAAGCTAACAACTGTGGAGTATGATGTGGCAGTTGGAGTCAAAGGTGACGGAATACTGGAAGACATCAAAAAATACCAGAGGTTGATTGGGAGACTAATGTATGTCACTATCACAAGACCTGATATCAACTTTGCAGTCCAAACACTCAGCCAGTTCATGCAAGCACCAAAGCAGTCACACTGGGAGGCTGCAACAAGGCTGGTTAGGTATCTAAGAGGCACAGCAGGTCAAGGAATTTGGCTGCAAGCTACAGAAGTTAATGAGTTGACCTGTTGGTGTGATTCAGAATGGGCATCATGCCCAAATACAAGAAGGTCAGTAACAGGATATGTTGTGAAGCTTGGGGAATCTTTGATCTCTTGGAAGTCAAAGAAGCAACAAACAGTATCTAGAAGTTCAGCAGAGGCAGAATACAGGAGCATGGCATCTGCAGTAGCAGAAATCACTTGGTTGTTGGGGTTGTGCAAAGAGCTAGGCATTGAAACTAGAGAACCAGTAATAGTGCATACGTCAAGGCTGCTATGCAAATTGCAGCCAATCCAATTTTTCATGAACGAACGAAACATATAGAGATTAATTGCCATTTCATTAGAGACAAGATCAAGTGTGGAATGATTAGGCCTGTGTATGTTCCTACAAAGGATCAGTTAGCAGATCTCTTGAGAAAAGGATTAAGTCATGCAGCACATGTACATCTATTCAGCAAGCTAGGAGTATTGAACATTTTGCACCCTCCAGCTTGAGGGGGAGTATTGTAATATGCACATGTGGCAGACTGTGTACAGCTGGCTGCCAGCTAGATGCCAACTAAGGTGTCTTAACTTAGTAGTAATTAGTTGAAAGATGTGATTAGTTATGATTAGGAGGTTAGGACATTTTGTGTATATATATATATATCTGTTAGTGGCAATGAAACAGTGGACTTCCACTTTCTCCTTCTTCCTCTGCAGTTCGTTTCTTTCTCTTCTCCTTAGAACATTCTAGATCATTGATGCTCAGAATTCATGAGGTAATTGCAGTATTTTGGCAGTATTCGATGTATTCAAGCTACTGTATTCATGAATACAGTAGCAAAACTCGGCAGAAAACAAGGAAGTCCAGCTAAACATGGACTGTATTTATATGTATTCGCGAGCTGCATTCGTGAATACAGTAATGAAAATCTGCAAAAAAAAGGTCTTCAGCAGTAAATAATATTTTAAAAGGATATTTATTTATAATAAATAAGGTGTAAAACTTTGCTACCTGAGCTAAAATTTACAAAAATGGCCGAAAATTATTGATTGGAAATGTCACCGCACGCTCTAAAATTGTTAGGGGCTTAGAGCCTATATCTTTTTCTTCTTTTTTTCCAGAGCCCAGCTTTTACTCTTACAAAAATGTAGTCACCTCTAAGGAAACGTTTTAATGGTATTTCTTTTTTATTTTCCTTATATTTTAGAATCTTGATTAATATGATTGGTTTAGATCTAATCCTGATTTAAAATTCCTAAAGACCCTATGTTATCACTGGAGGGCAAATATTGCAATATTGATCACCTATCAGGGGTCAAATTGAAATTTGGGCAGAAGCATCATTAGCTTCTCCCCACGTTCCCAATTCTCATCCAAGTTAGCCAGATAACTCAGCTAAGGATAACCAATTGCTCCGAACTTAACAATGATATAACAACAAGATGGAAGACACAACATGGGATCAAAGAATCCAAGCATTAACACACATCATAACCAATCCAACAACTAAACCATCCTTAGATTCTCAAATCTTCATTTCTAGCCAAGTCCCATGTTACCTTAACTGGGACTATCCCCCAATACTGTGCACCAAATATTCCACTAACACTTTCCCTTCTGTGAATCTGAGATGGGCTCTCTCAGTTTTCCTGAAAAGGGTTTCAAGACTTGGGGCACCTGAAACTTCTTGGAGGTCCAAATGCCCATACCAACAACCCCCTCCATTGATACTGGCCAAGGGATTGGAGGAAGCTCAGTGGGGAGATGAAGAGAGGAGACAGTATGTGAGGAAAAGGTTTAAAAGGAGACACTTGGGGAGTGATGTTCACCCTTTGATTCCGTTTATTGTACCTAATCTCTTATTGTTCTCTCTTCTGCTTTGGAACCCATTTCCAATTGATGGGTCAGATTCTTGAATATGGGGTTGGTTGTTCCTAGTTTTATTTACTTTAATCCTAATTGCAATTAGTTTTTCTTTCTTTATCCTGATAAAGAAATTATATCAAGTTAGTAAATTTGGAAGTATCTGCATAGAAGAATTGGATAAATGCTTATCTTTTTTTAACTTGAGAGAAAATGTTCAAAGTATCACTAGTGCTGCTTTATGTAGAATGAAGTTTTGGGATTGAAGTGAATGTTGATACAAAATAAAAGGGCAGCCCGGACCATAAGGATCGATACACAATACTTATAACAAAACAAATTGTGACTATGTAATTGCATTTTCAAGACTGAAAATACGACGTTTGACCTCATGGAATGAAACATATTTAGGAATGAAACAGGAGATTGCTGTCCAAACCACACAAATTTTGCATTATAAAACCTCTCCTGTTTCATTTGATGTGAGACCTTACATAACTTAACACCCTCTTGCACATGTTAATCCAATATTAGAGTTTTGGAGGGTAGTAGTACCAACAAAGAAAACACAATATAACAGTTACTGGAGGATAATTAATCAAGAATTAATATTGTAACGTGATTTCTTACTTGTGCTGTTGTAGCAGACAAGAGTCAAATATAAGTGCAACAACAGAACATTAGTTGAAGGCAACCAAACAATTCAACAAACATCCAACTTGTTGTAATTTGTATGGATATCATACTTTCCATTTCAGTTTAGGAAATGTGAACCTCTAATAGTGACCGTAGCATGTGATTTTTTGTTGAATTATGACACAAATGCACATGCTCTTAAATTGTGAAATAGACATACATGTCAATTTGTCATCTGCTCTTATCTTTATTTTATTAAATGAACTTCTAATTTTGACGCACCTATTTTTTTTGTATTTAATCAGGCCTTCTCCATTTTTCGATATGATGTTCCTATCCTGTTTCTTTCCCTAATCGTTGCGCAACCTATGGCCACTTTTAGTTTGAAAGGATGTATTTTGATGGAGCAAATAGTTTTATTCCAACTCCTATTTCTCTAAGATTATCACTAACTTGATTCCCGGGTTAGTAGTGGTGAACCAGGAATTTCATCTAGGGTGTTCAAACTTGAAATAAGTAAAAAAAAATCTCCGATAAAGGGTATTCAATATGTGTTATATATCATTAAAATCTAATATTTTACATCTATATACAATGTACTTTTCGACGAAGGGTGGTCAGTTCAGGACTATGTACCTTCGCCCATGCTGGTTAGTGGTAGTTAGTGATTGAGTTGAGAAAATAATGTTATTCGTCCCTTATTGGTAGAACACAAAAGAAAGATATGTTTTAATCTTTTTTTGCACCGCTTGAAACAAAATGGGGTATTATCACTTTTAGCTCGTATCAGATACTATTTATATTTGGTAGCCGAAAAGGTTATAAAATTTGTATAATTTTTGTATATAACATACAAAATGTATATAAAAATATACATTTTTTCGACTATTATATTGAGAGAGGCTATACAATATTATTTTTGGCACTTACCTAAAAGGTAGCCCGAAATTGATTAATTATTTTCAGCTTTCGAATATGTGTATTTATTTAAGTAAATGTTTAAATTTCTTGATTAAACTTTTAAATTTGGAAGCAGACTATTTAGAAAGAGGTTATGTCTATATTAAGATGGGTTCTGTATGAGTCAAAATCTATCTCTAGAATACTTAAGTCAGGATGACATTAGCGAAACACTCCCAGGCCGCCACGTGTTGAAGTGGCTTAAAGAATAGTAAAGGTCGTGGTCGAAGAGTTAGCGAGGATTAAAGTCGAGGGGTTGTCAATGATTGAGACCGAGGTCGAATACTCTTGACGGAGTCTTAACGGCTAGTTTCTAGAAAGGACATTAAAGAGAATATTCTAGTTGATATTATCTGCACTTGTACTGTTAGGGCATTTAGGAACATGTTCCCTATAAATAGAAAGAGACACAATGATAAGAGCCGGGACATATGATTTTGTAAAATATACTTTGACTTTAAAGGGAGAATCAGATCTTATTACAAGCCTACAAAAATAACATTTTCACCAAGATTCTTGCCCACACTTTACCACTGGATCCGAGAATAACTCAGATATTCATAGGCTTGTCTATCATTCATCATTTTCAGAAAGAACATCTACTGATTTCATCATTTCTCGGGTGACTTGTTCGTTCTATTTACATAAATGTCATTTATTGATGTTCATCACTATTTTATGCCATATTGCTTCCATTTACGCTTTCATAGCTTTTGGGAACAGATCCATGTGTTATTTATCACAGTGCTGGGAACTTCATCTTTTGGATATTATTATTAACTAAGATTAACCCTCATTTGTATAAATTAATTAGTTGAACCAAGATCTATATTTTTGGTCAAACAATTTGGCGCCCCCTCTGTGGGGATTTCTTAGTTAAATTTTTAGTTTCCTCTAGATCTACAGCTAACGCAATCACTAACCTCACAAACCACGAGATCTTCTTTCTTTGTACGTACAAAAACCTACATGGCAGATAACCAGGGAGAAAGGACAAGAATAACAAGTGATTTCCTTAGCAACCTCATGAACGCTATCAACGAGAGCCGCGAAATAGTAGGCGAGGATGTGACTCCCAATGCTTCCCTTAGGCACAAAAGGTCGCCTCTCCACCACTGCAGCATAACAAAACCCAATGGAAAAGGGGCCTCCACGTAAGCAAAAGAAGGGACACCTCCAGATGTGAAAAAACTCCTCGAAGCATGGATGACCGACACGCTGGTGAGCGGCCTCAACAAGCCCGCTCCAAGCACGACTACAGAAACTGCAAGAGCTTGCATGATACAATAAATAGACGAGCAGTGTAAGCGACCAAACCCTCTGACAACAGGTATAACTCACAATATTACAAACAGTGTAGGTGATAGCGCCCTCACTGCCATTCTAAAGAGGATGGGATAAATGGAGAATGAAAACAAGACACTCTGAAACCAGATGAAAGAAACACCAAGAATGGGTCGACAAGATACCAGGCACTTAAGTTGTTGCCTAAAAGGGACGCCGGCAGGTTCGTATAACAGCTTTACAGCGGTGACGTAGCCTCGCATGTCGTACCAAAGACCTTCAAAAATGCCGCCCTACCTTAGGATATACGACGGAACGACCGATCCCGAGGATCATATGACCCATTGCGTCACCGCCGTAAAAGGTAACGACCTCGCCAAGGAACAAGTGTCCTCTATTTTGCTGAAGAAGTTTGGTGAAACCCTTACGGGAGGGGCATTGACATGGTAGTCATAGCTACCAACAACATCACGACCGGGGACAAAAGTGTAGTCCGCCAAATCAACTCATCACTAGATCAAATCGAGGTAAGAACCACAACCTTAACTTGGGATTGGCTCAATCATATTATCGCCTATTTGTAGGATGGCACACTCCCAAACGACAAGAAAGAAGCCAAGAAACTGAGAATGCAAACGTCCATATACAATCTCCTTCATAGCGACCTGTACAAGAGGACTTACGGTGGCCCTCTAGAAAATGTCTGGGCCCAAACCAGATCCAACGCGTCCTCGAAGAAGTCCATGAAGTCCATTGCGGTGCTTACTCCGTCAATCGTGCACTAGTCATATGCCTCATACGGGCAGGATACTATTGTCTCACCATTAAAAAGAACGCCTCAGACTTCGTGAGAAAATGCGAATAGTGCCAAAAGTACGCCCCAATTATTCACCTAGAAGGCGAACACCTCCACTCGGTCACCTCCCCGTGGCTGTTCATCAAATGGGCAATGGACATCGTGGTCCCCCTCCCAGCAGGGCGAGGTAACGTACGATTCCTTTTGGTTTTAACTCACTATTTCTGTAAATGGGTGAAAGCAGGAGCATTTGCCCAAATATGGGAACAAGAGGTAATAACCTTTATATGGAGGAATATCATCTGTCGATTCGGCCCACCCAAGGAGATCACCTGTGACAACGGACCCTAGTTCACAGGAAAGAAAACCGTCGAATTCTTCGAAAAGTGGCATATCAAGAGGATACTCTCAACCCCATATCATCCGGCAGGTAATGGGCAAGCAGAGTCCTCCAACAATTCCATACTAAACATCATGAAGAAAAAGCTCGAGAACACCAATGGATTGTGGTCGGAAATACCCAGAAGTATTATGGGACTACTGAACAGCTCTTTAGACGAGCACGTGGGAGATGCCCTACCCTTTGGTCTATGGGACCGAGGCAGTAATACCGATCGAAGTGGGAGAACCCAGCCTAAGGTACTCCTACGAAAGCAGTATGAGTAACGATGAGAGAAGAAGGCAGGAACTCGACGAGCTCGACAAACGAAGAGATATGGTGTATATAAGAATGGTCACCCAAAAACAACAAACAGAATGCTATTACACCAAGAAAGCAAAGGTCCGGCCGCTTAAAGTCGGGGACTATGTGCTGAAAGCCAAAACTCAAGCAAAGACCCCGGGAAGGCAAACCGGCAACAAACTAGGATGGTCCGTACAAAATCATAGCCAAAGCAAACAAAGGTCCATTCCAACTAGAGACAATAGAAGGAAAGCAACTACCAAATAATTGGAACATCAGCCACCTCAAATACTTCAACTTTTAAGAGAAAAAGTGTCCCCCAAGTCGTACTCTTTTTCCCTCAATTGAGTTTTGTCCCATTTGGGTTTTCTCAAGGAGGTTTTTAACGAGGCGGCGAAAGGAACACTTCGAGTCGAAGTACGCGATGGAGGGACTGTTGCTACTTTTTATTTCTCGATTCCTCAATACACTCCAAGTCAAACAATGAAGGGACTAGGTAGACTAGGACTGGAGCGCCTGCCAACACCCAAAATCTGTAACCTTCTCCAAGTATGTAACCAAAACAACAATGTTGAAGTAATAAGAAACTTACGTTTATCAGGACACCTTTTTGAGTTAAGGTTATGTTCGACTACGCTCGAACAACACCTATCAACCCTTGGCCACGATTTAATGAAAAGGTAATGTTCGACCACGCTCGAAAAATTCTTATCGGTCCTCGGCCGCGATTTATCGAAAAGGTTATGTTCGACCATGCTCGAACAACACCTATCGGCCCTCGGCCGCGATTTAACGAAAAGGTTGCATTCGACCTCACTCGAGAAAACACCTACCGGCCCTCAGTCGCGATTTAATACTAGCTCATGTTCGACTATGCTCGAATAACACTCATCGGTCCTCGGCCACATT